TGGAAGTACACAAAAAAGGAGTTCTTCAATGGAAGAAAGTCAGCGGAATGGATTTCAACCAAAATCTGTCATCATTGAAGCCACGATAATTTAGCCCATATCGTAAATTGAATAAAAGATGCTGAATTTGTTTATCCGTACCTTTGTTTCTGATGCAGCGAGATATTTGGAATATTTCCAAATATCTATTATTATCATATTTTAATTAATTAATTATTATTGTTCTAGAATATTCTATGTTTTAGGGTTTTATTATAAATAGCCTTCTTAGGCCTCCTATTGTATTCGGTTGTTTTTGATTAATAAAATTAAAGAGCTTTTGATAAGCACTGAGAAGAGTATTCTCAAACGAAGTCTTTGAAGTCTTTGTTTATCGTGAATCCATTGATCTCCGATAACAATAGAATTCCGAGCTACGATTGTCTTGCTTGAGATCCATTGATACTCAAGATTACTTTCGTAATCTATCCCTAGAAGCTTCCGCTACGTCAGTTGGTATCAGAGCCGAAACGGTTCTTCGTTTACCATGTCGTTCGGGTGTCTCTATCAAGCCGATGAATTTCTGTTTTCTTCAACAGAAGATTTGTATGGGAAGTACAAAGAAATTTATGGGCCTCCGGTTTATGACGTCTACGAAGAAGACATATTCGTTGATCACATAGACTTTATCTTCATTGATGGATCTTTTAATACAAGGAGAAGGCAGAAGGTGGATTTTTGTGTTGAAAATAACAACACTAAATTGTTATTATCACATAAAAATATGAACGTGGCTTTTGTTGATACAAATTCCAAGTGTCTCCTTCTCAATTTGTCTGCAGCACATGGGCAGCACTCTCACGACAATAACGAGAACGAAGAAGATGTGTGTGTCAATGGATTGAAGAATCATGATGCAAATTGGGCTTTTGGGAAAGAAGAGCTAGTTAAAGTTCTTCATCGTAACAAAGACGTGGAGACCAAGTTTCAAATTGAGGTGCAAAATAATTTTAACTTCAACATGTCTTGCTTTAGAATTCATTTAAATTATCCGTACCTTTGTTTCTCTATTCATTTATGTGGTTGAGAGTAATTTTGGAATTAGAATTCCATCATGATAATATTATTACAAACTTTGCGTTATTATTTTAATGTTTTGAGATTTAATAAATTTTATTATACTTTTTTTTGTCTAACATTTTGTATTATGTGGATATAAATTCGGATAATAACAAAGCCACAATATGAGCAAAAACCCTTATACCAATATGAACGCAAACTATAATTGTATATGACGTCTGTTTTAAATATATGTCGTGGTCGAATATATTCATTGTGTTTGTGGGGGTGGATTCGAATCAAAACATGGCATCACCTAAATCGAACCTATAGATGTTTCCATGCTCTTTGAAACTATGATCATGCTATTGGCCCTACCCTATTATCGCCACCTACTCTACTATATAAGTATGCATGTGTGAAAATTATCTGCACATTCACACATATTCATCGTAAGTGGAAAAATTACTATAATTGTATATGACGTCTGTTTAAAATCATTTTACTGATCGAAGCTTTTTTGACAAAAGAATCTAGACTAATGCATAAATCTGCAACTATGTTTAGTAACCACTAACCAGGAAAAAATTGTGCCATTGTGTGTGTGCGTCACTGAATATATAAACATTTTTATCTGATTTGTTTCTTAATTCTATTATGTATAAATGTTTTATATGCACCTTGCATAATAATACCCTTTTTGTCTTTGGTATGAAACATGCATAATACTTTCTACCAAACGATTGTTGGTCATTCTCTCTAACTCCATTGGCCAAATTTTTTCAAGGCATTGTGTTTGTGAAGTCGGCTACGTACACAACCGGGGCCGGCGCAGAGGGCAACCACCGAAGCCACCGATTAGGACCTCAAAATTTGAGGGCCTTTTTACCTAAAAATTTGTTAAGTTTTCTTATATACAATAATTTTTATAGGGCCTTTTAAAAATATTGTGGACTTTTAGAGACAACTACAACATTCTTTTTAATGGTAAAAATCTGATTTAAAAGAATTTTTTTTTTATGGGCTTTAATTTTGCTTAAGGCACCTAAATTTACTGTGCCGGCACTGTACACAACCACCAACATGCAGAACCAAGTGGTAGCGGCAAATTGTCTTGTGAATCTACGAAGATCCATTTATGTTAGACTCAATTTTTTTTTTCTTTCTAGAATTCACTTCTATAGCAAAATGTAGATTGTGAAACAACATGTGGATTTTATCCTAAGATATCTCGATTGTAAAAAAAAAAATCAAGAATTTTACTTTTACTGATTCACAACCAGAGCCGGCTAAGACCATCAGCAATGGCAAATGTGTTTGTGTGGATGTAAGTATTTTTTTAGTATTATAATTTAAAGCAAAAGAGAAAAGAGAAAGAGAAAGAAAGAGAGAGATAGAGAGAAAAAGTGTTATACCCGAGTGTAAACTTACACCCGAGTGTGATGAGAGAGACAATTTTTTGGTTTTTTTAATACCTATACCCCAAGACTCACACTCACCTGCTTGTGCCACTGCTGATGCTCTAAGAGGCCAAACAAAATAAATTTTGGCTTGCGGCCAAAATAACTATATATATTTAACCGGCTTTTAAAATTATAAAAGTTGTTAGTAGATCTACCGTTAAAAGCATGCCCAAGAAATATCTAGACTGACAGTTGGAGTCATACTTCCTCTCAATTACAATTGAATATTTTTTTCCTAGGCCTTAATATTCTTTTTGCTTGGAACCCTGAATTATATAGGGACGGCTCTCTTCACAACGAATACATAAATCATGTAATTGCAATACATATATGATAGACCATCTGCAATAGTTAATTTACATAAGTTACCAAAGATAAATGCTAGTACTTTTCATTGAGCACATATTTTGATTTAAAATACTAGGTTACATTCAAATTGGGTCATGTCTTCTGAGGTTACAATTTTTATAGAGCAAATTTTCTTCTAACTTTACTGATCATTGTCACAGATTTAGACGTTGCGAAATAATGTATGTGTATTTTTTTTTTCAGTCTGAATAATGTATGTGCATATATATTAAAAAAAAATTGATTAATAGCACCACATGGGTTAATTTGGACTCAATTAAATATAAGTCACTCTAAGAAGGGTTATAATAGTTTTTTTTTTTTGTCAACCACACATTAATTATTAAAAAAATTCATTGATTGGTTACCTAATTAGGAGGAATAGTGCTTACAAAAGTAACTTCAATAAATAATAGACGGAAAGAACGGGCTAAGCAGTCCGCCTTGACATTACATAAACGAGAGATAAGGGAAAGCGAGAAAAAGGGGAAAGAGACACGAATCAAACCAAATTCGTCTAGTTGATTGGAGAAGGCTGGCCATTCTTCAGGTGATTGTACCATCGAGACTAACTCTGAGCAATCTGTTTCAAACGCCTGACAATCGATCCTTCTTGAAAAGATATTCTTCATGGTCCAAATTAAGGCTTCCATCTCCGAGTGAAGGGGGGAGGGTCATAATAGTTTAAAACTTTAAATCCAGATTCTAAACACCTGATTCGACCAATTCCTAGAAGTGGCAAAGCAAATATTCTACAAGAAATTAATTTTATTGAGACGAAGTTTAAGACTAATAATATACGTCACCAATTTGTGACTTTTTTGATACGTTTTTTGTGACTAAATATATTTGTCACAATTTCGTAGTAATTTCGTCACAAAATTGTGACGGTTTAGATCATGACCGAAATTTGTGGCAATTAGCGACAAAAATATTACGATTTTATGACCGAAACAAGTGTGAAGATTTTGTGACGTATCTATAGTCACAAATTAGTTACGAATTTGTAACGAATATGGGAATCACAATTTGTGACATTAGAGTGACTAAATAGTAGTCATGAATTGATACCAATGAGTGACAAAGTATTTTGTTATAAATAGTTTCGTAATTTTGTTACAATTTTGTCCCAATGTGGACTGATTAACAACATTTAAAAAGTTATCATCTTCATTTATTTAAAAATATTTGAAACCGTTATTACTTTAATGTATTTTTGTTATAATATTTTTAGATGAGATAAAGACTATTTTTCTTATTAGATAAACTTTAAAAGTATATATTTAATTTTAATTCTAATCCTAGTAAAAATAGGAATCGATCTTATCGATCAACATATATATTATCTTGTTTATGTGGAAGGACTTATAAACACATTATAATGGATTACATTTGATGCAAATAATAATATACCCCTGAAAAATGTCGTAATTATATATCTTATCCAGTAATTATGGTTCCTTCGTGTAATTATCTCCAGTTTAGTTTTGTTCAAGGCATTGATAAGATAAATTTTTAATTGTGAGCTGAGATTGAATAATGCCTGTGTTATTTTTTTTTTGTCAAAGACTTGTTTCCATTTCATCAACAGAAGTTCAAGTACAGAGATAACATGGGTGCAAAGATCCCAAAGTTTAAGAAAGCATTACAAAGAGGGGCATACCCCAAAACTACCAGAAGATAACTAAAATAGATCGACGAAGGTTCCATGAGAGCTTTGAAGCCAAAGCTAGATAGCATTTGGACACATGTGAGATCACGGTTTGTCGAACGAGCCTCCATGAACAAATCAAAAGATGGCGAAATGGTCACTGTCAATAGACAACGTGACGTTAGTGAAGGAGCCAGAGACGAGTTTCTATCCGGCAAGAGGGGTTGTAAACAGGGCAGTGCAACTGTAAAGCTCCGATTCAGTACGTTTTCGAAAACGGATGAAAAATCTTCTAGGTCAGAATGCGGAGAGGAGCACATGATTATGAGCTTGTTAGAAATGACATTTAACCGGTGTTTAAAGTCTTTTGCAAATGCTACCATAGGAGAACATTTGGACACAGAAGATCTGTAGCTACAAACAATCCTCCAACAATTTGGAATCGGGAACAGTAGACTATACACCTTCCAGCTCTTAGGTTCATAGGACTTAGCCAAGATTAACACTAAATCCAGGGTTCTCAGGGTATAATTGAAAAACCGTAGCAATGAGGGTGATTCCTCTCTCAGATGGTGTCTTCTGCCATTGAGGTGGAGGGATCGACCTAACTTTTGACTACAGATCGACAAGAAACAAAGAGAAACGGACCTGGGCTTTATGTCATTTAGACATGGATCGCTCGGTATGGGCTTGGGCCTTTGGATAGGTAATGGGCCGAAGTTGGGTTCAAAGCCTTCTAGGCAAAACCCTAGTTTTGCTGCGGTTGGCCACAGATCTGAGAGAGCGCGGCGGCTTGTCGGATCTGTTGAGAAGCTTTGCCGTGAGGGAGTGAGCTCCGATATGAGAAGATTCATCGATAATAGCATATGAGCATGGTCTGGAGCTGGGGCGGAGATCTTCGAAGCCGTAACCGTTTTTTAAGTGGATAAGCTTCACCGAGAAGAAATAATCGTCGTGCGCCGTCGACGCCTCCCCCAAACAAGGCGCATCTGAAGGTCCAATAGAGAGCTCTCTTGCCTTCAACGAAGTCCGGGGTGAGATTTCTTCAAGAGTGAGCAGAGATCCAGATCGAGAATCTGCTCTTTGGTTAGACGGTTCTGTTGAGGATGGTGCGAGCATAAAGTATCTGAAGGAGATTGAGAGAACAGGTTCAGATATGAACGTTTCCAGATACGCTCGTCGTCCGTTGTTGCTCAGTGGTGAGGCTCCGGTTTGTTGCAAGTGGTTCGAGAGAGTTCGAGAGGGTTCCAAGAGAGAAAAAACTTTTGTAAAACGAAGGAAAATTAAAAGCAGGCTTGTGTATTGAATTAGATGGGGATCGGAGTCCCGACGCCGGCAAACGAAGGCTTTGCCGGCGCCGGAGGAAGATGACATAAGAGGCTTCTCGATACTTGTGTCAGGGAGCGTTTTTTAGACTCAATTGATATACGTTTACCATGTTCGCCTGTGTTATTTTTATTATTTTTTTAAATGGCCGGTGTAACGTTGACCGTATACTAGTAAAAAAAACATGTATAGCCACAACAATTTTAGTGGCTGTGGTACAAAATTCGTGGCTATATGCTAAAACAGCCACTAATGGCCACTTAAACGTGGCTTTTTTATTTCGTGGCTTTTCGTAGCTATGTAGCCACGATCTAGTCACGCGTATTTCGTAGCTGATTTCTCACGGATAGCCACTTATATATTCGTGGCTCTACAAGTCTACAGCCACGAAAGTAATCCTGACTAATTCGTGACTTTTTCATATAATTTTAATAAAAAAAAAACGGAAACAAAAAAGATTATTATTTATAAATTAAAATGTAAAATTAATTTATTTATAAAACACAATGATTTTAACAAAAAAAATTAAAAAATGTTTCACGAGATGTCTTCTTCTGTCAAGCATCTTCGGTGGTCTCGTGGCGTCGGATCTGGTGGCTGGACATCAGATCTAGGAGCTCTCATTGTTGCCCGTTGAAAACATTACAGCAATCGGAACTTGGATCAGACTCCATGGCTGATGTGACGGCATCGTTGCGTTGAAATCCATGGTTGATGTCACGGCGCCGATCCGTTGAACTTTGTCAATGGTGGTGGTGAACGACGTCTTAGTTGTGGCTTAGTCTTCTATGTTGTAGTTTTGGGGGTTGGCGGAGGAGGTGTGCTCTCTTGGATGAGGAGAAGAGGTGGAAGGTGGAAGGTGACGAAGATGAGAAAAGAAGAGGAAAAGAATCAGAGAGAGGCCCACTTCACCAGCTCTACTCATTGATTCACACACTCACCTGCAATCTCTTTCTTTCTCACTCTCCAAGTCTCCCCCTGTGAAAGCTGAAATGAGAGGTGGAAGGTGACGAAGATGAGAAACGGAGAAGAAAAACAATTGAGAAACTTTGTGTCCGTTGGATATAGTTTATCAACGGTGGAGAATAGCAAAAGAGCAATCCATGTCTCTATGAACTAACCAATAAGAAGTCATTATTATTTGGTTTATTAATTTTGCAATTTGCAGTAGTATTTGGTATATTAAATAGAAATGGTAGACAAAATGTCTTAGTTGTTGGGTATATTAATTAGATTTTGTTTTTAGAGTTTATTGTTTAATTTCTATAATGAAAATTTTAATTAAAGTTTAGATTTTAGGATTTGGAGTTAAATTGAGGGTTTGGGGTATAGATTTGAAATGTTTGATTTAAAAACTAAGAATTTTATAAAAGTGTTGGATCTTAATTTTAATTAGGGTATACATTGGTAATTAGATTTTTGTTTAGAGTTTATAAATTTAGAGTTTGTCTTTAAGATTAAGGTTTCCGTCTAGCCACGGATAAATTAGTGACAAATTCGTGGCTATATAATAAAATCAATTCAAAAATAAAATAATCACGAAATTTTTGTGGCTTTTTCGTAGCAAATAGCCACGATTTAGCTATGGAATAATTTCGTAGCTATATTTAGCCACGAATTTGTTACAAATAAAATCCGTGGCAAATATTAGCCACAAAAAACCACTAAATGCCACGAAAATTGTCACGTTATTGTTAAGTGACTAATTCGTGGCTGGAATGAAATTAGCTACGAATGTCCATGGCTAAACCGTGGCTATACGAAAATTTTCTACTAGTATATATTAACTTATTAAGTATTAACCAAGTAGTGGGAGATCGCAGTTCCACTTGGCCCATGAACCGGTGGGTAAATCAAAATATACCCATTTTATGAAACTGCAAAATTTATAAGAAGTTTTTCCTATAAAAAAAATATTTGTTGGAAACCATAAACGATCAATACTATTTTTCTTCTACTTAATTGAATTGAAGACTTAAAATAATAATAATTGAATTCTGGTTTTATTCTATTCTATCTGATTGGGAATAATTGGTATGTTATTTTAGTTTGTCTACCAAAAAAGTTTGGAATATATGATATTTCTAAACAGCAGGACAAAAAATAAATACATAGAGAAGCATATTGAAAGAGACAAGACCTTAGTAGACACATGAGTTGAAGTTGATGTTGATAATAATATCTTCACTATACTGAATCCTGTAATGTCAAGAGCGTGTTTATATGTTTTCGGTAATGGTAATTATTGCAAAATTTTATAATAGTTTGAGACTCGCATGATATGCAGTTTAAGTTTCTCTAAGAATTCTTTTCACTTTTACTTTGTCAACGAATTCTTCTTATTTATGTATCAATATCATGATTTTTTTTTTGAGATAAAGGATTCATTGATGTACAAGAAAATTTTATAGTAATTCTATTTGAGCATAAGTTATCAACAAGCAGTACAAATTCAACCTTTTTATACTATTTTTGTGAATATTACTTTTATTAGCTCAGGCTGCTCAGCTTTTATAAAGGAACAGTATTAAATCTTACCTGTAATACTTTTTACTATTCAATTAATTTCTATGACCACAATAAAACCGTGTTTTCAAGTTTCTGACGTGTAAGTGAGTCATTTAAATAAATAATGGGTCAGTGGATTTCTTTTGGGAAAAAGGAAAAACTGTGAGTGGGTGATTTAAATCGTCATCAAATCTAAATTTTTACTTTTTGAGGTAAAGGCAAAATATAATATTGAGGGATAAAATAGTTTGATATTGACAAATGAGACCATCTTAATTCCTTAACTGATGCCCCATGACGCTACGAAAAGGTATGCCGTATGCGTCAACGTCATACAAATAAAAACCCTCCAATCACAAAACAGACCAATTGGGCTTGATTTGCAGTTTTAGTAATTGCGTGCCAAATATGTAAACTTTTAGAGTTTTGGAACCAAATATGTTTTTTTACATGTGAAACCTTCACTTACACAGTTATATGATTGATATGCACATGAGAATCATTCATACCACTATTCTTTTGCCTTTCAAAAACGTAAATGTTTACATAGTTACATAGTTGTTGTTGTTTGGGTAAATTTTAACCCGTTTATATAAACAGTTACAGTCTTATGGTTTTTTTTTTTTGAGCAAACAATCTTATGGTTCGTAGTTGTTGTTTTGGTAAGAGAACAAAAATGGATAAACGTTTTAAGAACATACTATTTAACTGTCCATTGTCTTTTCTTTTCTTCTTTTTTTGGGCAAAAAATGTCATTGTCAATACGTTGTTTTGTATGATAATAAATTTAAAATTTAAGCGTTTATTGATAGAAAAACTATCATATGAGATCTAAAAAAGGTATTAAAATTGCAAGATTTTAGATATTAGCTTTCAGTGAAAAAAAAATCAATTTGGTTTAGTTGGGCTGATATACTCTTGAATTCGATTAATTTGGCTACAATATTATTTTATCACGAACCACAAATGTTTTGTATTCCAATTTTGGAACACAATTGAAAGTTTTTGGGGAAGGAATCTCTATATCTTTAACAATTGTAGCTTATCTGTAATTTGTCTCGGCAGCTACAAAACTCCAAACTTGGTTTATCATGTAAATTTAAAAATCTATTATTTTCTTTAATAGAACCACGTGAATCGTGATCCAACCAATTGTATTTTGTATTCGTCTATACTCGAAATAGAGATTATTATGGATTTTGTCATTTTTTAATAAATCTTATAGATTTGCCATTTTTGAACATTTTAAAAATTCAAATTTATAATTTTTTTTTATCTCTAAAAATAAACTGAACCGACTAAACCCAAACATAACGGAAAAAAACGCATAAAAAACGTATTTTTATAACTTAAAACTGATAAATCCATAAAATTTTAACAAAAATAGAAAATCCACAAATGCCATTCAAAAAAATGGTAAACTCATAATTAATTTCTCTAAATACGTTGGAATATTTTGGTTTGTAGTACTTCTGTTGCTATTGTGCAAGTTAGTTAATAGAATTAGCAGCATCACCACAGTTCAAAACTACTCCCTCCGTTTCGTTTTAGTTGTCGTTTTAGGACTTAAATTTTGTTTCGTAATAGTTGTCGTTTTAGGTTTTCAATGCAAATGTTTGGTAAAAATTCCAGTATTATCCCTATTGTTTTAATGTTTTGGCCAATGAAAAAATTTATAAGATATATTAATAAAAAGTAAAACAAAAAATTTAATGTTTTTCTTAATTTGTGTGAAAAAACCTTAAACGACAACTAAAACGAAACGGATAGAATATATGTTTATTATAAATATAAATACCAAAAGTACAAATGAGTTCTACTTTGGTGTGCAAATCTAATACAGTGGAACCCATTTGTACTTTTGGTATTTACACAATTTTGTTACAAGAGAACGTCATACTGAGATGAAATGGATCTTTAATAATTCCCCGACATGGACATTGTTGTGTATAAATGCACCTTTGAATATTAAAACGTGGCTACTTTTTAAGGGATCCATACATTCTATTTCTATTTTTGCTACTTTGTATAAATTAGAATGGGAAAATCACATTTTTAACCCTGAAAGTGTAACTGGGTAGCACTTTAAACCTCGAAAAAATTCTACTCACTCTATAAACCACCAAGATTATTTTACTAACACTTTAAACCTCCAAACTACATTTTCTTTTTGCAAAGCTATAAATGATGATGTAACAATCAATTTATCTTTGTTTAATATATATTTATTTAATTTAATTTAAATTTTAATTAATTTTATTATTTATTACGATTTTGACGATTAAAAAAAATCATCATTTTCGACTATTCACCATCCGACCATATGATTTTTATTCAGTTCATTGTATGTGTTCACCATCTTTTTATTCAATTGGTATTATGAGATTCCAATTTATCCACTCGAGAGAGTGAAAACGCTTATGGATCAGTCTAGAAGATTGTTTCAACAGTTTAATAAGAAATTTCATGCTCGGACGGTGAGTAAACGAAGAAAATAAAGGTTTTTTTTTTGTTTTTTTAGATTTTTATTAATTGTAATAAATAATAAAATTAAGTAAAAAT